CCCCGCCGCCTCCTTGGGGGGGGCCTGCCCCCTCGGCTCCCAGTGGGCCCCCTCGTCGCGCCGGCGAGGGAGGAGGGCAGCAGCCTGCCGGGAGGGGCTCAGAGAGCACAGGCGCCCCGAATGTCGTCACGGAGGCTATGGGAAACTAATTTTCGGTTGGTTCGCGTCGTGTCGACCGGCGGCGACCCCGCCGCGGGCGTTCAAGGTTGAACGCCGCCAGTGGCCCGGAATCGGCCTACATGGAACGATCGGGTGATCGGAAAGCCGCCGATCGTTCAAGATTGAAGGATCGACGCGGTGTCAGGAACCAACGCCAGGGTCGACACGGCACGGACCTGCAGTATGGGAGGTGGGGGGGGAAGACGGACACCCCGGGAGCACAGGAGAGCGCGGGGAATGCCGGGCTGTGTGTCTGTTTATTTGTGTTATGTCGGGCGTGTCCCCCTGCAGGGAGATGTTCGACGAAAAATGAAAATACCTCAAAAATACCCCCAAAAAGGATTATTTGTTGAGCATGTTTTTTTATTTTGAGGGTATTTTTTCATTTCTCGTCGAAAATCACCCTGTAGGGGGGGGGGGCAGGCCCGACTAAAAATATTTGTGTGTCCCTGGGCCCCCCTCCACAGCACAGGCGGCACGACGACGGGTGGGGGGGGCGGGCCTGGGCGCGCGCAGGAAGGCCGCGCAAGGAGGGCGCGCCCGCGGGGCGTCGCCGAGAGGGGGCTCTCCGGAGAGGCGCCTCTGTCTGCTGCACGGGGCAGCGGCCCGGAGGGTGCGCGGCCCGCCTGCAGTCAAGGCGCGAAAAGATCAGCTCGGGTTCCGGGGGGGCCCCTTGCTCTGAGTCGGGCGTGTCCCTCAACAGGGGGAAGATGCAAAGATGGTCCAAACATAGTCTGGGGACGTGTTTTTGTTGGACAATTTTCGAGTGTTGTTGGGGTATTCTGGGAGTGTACCCTGGGTTCGTCCCCGGCTTCTCTTCTGGCGCTCTTCATGCACCCAGGCGCTGTTGCGGGGGGGGTGAGGGGCTGCTTCGTTCAATCATAGGCGATCCTTGTGGCAGTAGCTTGACGGTAGGTCGTCTACAGCGCTGGGAGTGGACACGTCACTACATGGAGCAATAAAAGAGCACCCGCACACGTGAATATGCCACGTCGTGTGATGTTGTTGAGGTGAGCCTTAGCCTCCCAGAGATTGCCGGAGGAGGAAATGACGTGTGGCGTCTTGGATGGTATTTATATCTTGAGACAGGCTCAGTCGAAAGCTGTAGATGCGTCGTCAGGATTTCTTGGACTACTTGAGAGGAGTCCGTCGCGGAGACAGATGTGAATGTGCGCAGTACTGGAGCGCTCTGGGGAAAGCCGCGCTCCGTCTGAAGTCTTGTTTATAGACCGTCTTGGGAGTTCTAGGGCAATCAGGGCAAATGCGAGGCCATCTTGAGAGAGTTTCGGCGGGGGGCGAAAGAAATGTTACGTTCAGGGGCGCGTGGGGCATGTAGACTAGACAGCCGGCGGCAGCGCGCAGAGAAAGCCGACGAGCCCAGCTGAGTGTTGCCAGCTCGTCCATTCCCCGCTCGAGCGGCGGCGTCTTTATAAAAGTCGTGCCATGCGGGGGGGCTTGGCATCTCACTCGGCAGATGCGTGCGAATTTGGCCTGGCTTGGCATGGACCCTCTCGCGCTTCCCGTCAGCTGGAGGACGAGGAGGAGGAGGCAGTGAGAAGTTGATTAGCCGCCTGTGGTTAAAGCATCAATATGTTACGCGCCGCATGCTCCATATGCACAACGGGTGTGTAATAACACATATCACAGAATGAAGAGAACCCAGCGCGACCCCAATTATGGGAGAGCTCCCTAAGCAAGTAACTGAACAAAGAAGTCATTGCGTGGCATTGTTTTGCGTTGCTTGGCATTCCTTGGCAATGCTCTTGGCAATGCTTGGCACTGCATGGAAATCGCTTGGCGCTGCTTAGAATGACTTACCATTGCGGCGCCTTGCTTGGCATGGCGTGGCGTTGCTTGGGAGTGCGATGAATTGCTTGTTTGGCATTGCGTGACGTTGCTTGGCAGTGCGATGCATTGCTTGTCGACATCGCTTGACAGTGCTTGGAATTGCGTGGAATATCGTCGCATTGCTGAGAATTGCGAGGCAACCCAGGGATCCTTTCGGGACAAAAAGTAAACAAGACCAAGAAACCTGGGGAACCCGAGCAATGCTGCCCTTTCAACAGTAGTGCAGACATCAGGTCGGGGCCTTTCAGGTTTGCGCTCGGGAGCGCAGACAGGCGATCCATACATATTTATAGATATATATATATACACATATATAGAGAGAGAGGGATGAATATAAAAAAAAAAAAAAAAAAAAAAAAAAAAAAAAAAAAAAAAAAAAAAAAAAAAAAAAAAAAAAAAAAAAAAAAAAACGTGCCTGGGTGTGGGTGCCTTCGGCCCATTCCGCCACCGTGCCTGGGTTGTGGGTGTGAAGCCTGTTGGGTGTTCGTTGGGATATCGTGGGAGGCCTCTTGGGGGCCTCATTTGGGCCTCTTGGGGGCCTCTTGGGGCCTCTTGGGGACATGTTGAGGCCTCCAGGGGCCGCTTGGGGCGGAATGCTCGGATGTTCGATTCGTGTTCGTTCCTTCTTTGAGGCCCCTGTTGGGGCCGCCTTGTGGCCATCTTGGGCCGTTTCAGGCGCCTCTTGGGCTTCCTTGTGGCCCCCTTAGGCAGTTTGGGGGCCCACTTGGAGGCCTCTCGCGGCGATCTTGGGGATCTCAAGGGCCGCCTGGGAGCGTCGTGGAGCTGAAAGCACGAAAACGCAAGTTTGGCCTCTTGGGGTCCTCTTGGAGGCCTCTGTGAGCATCTTGGGGGCCTCTTGGGCCGCCTGGGGGCCATCTTTAGCGTCTTGGAGCGATCGCTCGGCGACTCGGGGCCCCCTTGGACCGCCGTGGGCTCTTCTAAGGGCCCTCTTGGCCCGTCTTGGGGCCCCCCTGGGCCCGCAGGAGAACCGCGACAGGCCCCAAGAGATTGGGCCGAGGGGCTCCGAACCCACAAGAAGATTCCTCAGGAGTGAGGAGTGAGGTTTACAGGGGTAGTGAGAGGACCTGAGGACACGCCCACTCCGTACCCAGAGGCACGATGGCGGATATTTCCTACATGTTTACAAGCCGCGTGGGTTAGAAAAGCCCCCAGTCACCCCCCCACACACAATTTTCAACGGACCCTCAGGATCCAGAATTCTGGGGAGCCCCCCGACGCCCTTGGAAGAGGTCCCCCGGCCCACTGGGCATGCACATAGGCTGACAATTGGGCTTGCGAGGAGGAGGGCGGGGCATGTGCCTTTAGGGTTCGAACTCTTACCTTGCCATGCCGGCAGGAACCGTGCTGATTGCGCATGTGAACGGGGCGGGGCCACGATTCGCCTCGCGAACTTGGGCTAGTAATGTGAAGGCATGTTCCCCATAAAATGTTGGGTCAACTCTGGGCACTGGGCTCCGCAGTCGAGATGGTGGTTTACATGGGGATGTTCAAGTGTCAAAGTTATTTCAATGCTTTGCAATACCAACAGCACGGGGATTGGATGGCACACCATGGGCTCGCACTGCGGCAATTATACCGCTACCCACGCCCTGCCTCCATTATGTTGTGGTGGGGTAAGTTATGTTTCTTCTGTGGCGTCGTACATACGTTTGTACCGACTCGCCCCAACATCAGGCAGGCGGATTGGCGAAGCTTGCAAGAAATGCCAACAAAAAACAGCACAACGATGACGGCTTTGCTGCTCCGATGGCAGTTCCCGTGCAGCCTCTGACCGCGGACCTCCCAGAGGCTCGGACGACCCCGGCTGGCCCCGTGGAGGCTCCGACGGTGAGCACCGCGGCGACTCCAGCAGCATTGCCCCGTGCAGATTGCCACGGCGGATCCCGGCGAGGTTCGGACAAAGATCCCCCTAGGTTTAAGTCGGGCCTGTCCCTCTACAGGGGGGATATTCAAAAATTATCTTGGCGACGGACCCAACCATATGCAGTTGTGGGTACCGCAATTGTGAATATTTTCTTCGGTGGAGCTCCCTATGGGGCCACGAAGCGCTGCACTGGGTGGGGGGGAACGCATGCGGGCAGTAGAACTGGGGCCGTCGGGCGAACTCCCTATGGGGCCACGAAACGCCGTACTGGGTGGGGAGAAAATGCGAAACCTGGTGTGTGGGACGCATGCGGGCGGTCCCAGTGATGGCTTCGGTGGAGCTCCCTACGGGGCCACGAAACGTATGAGGGATATGCCAAATTTGGTTTCCGGGACGCATGCGGACGGTCCCATTGGGGGCTTCGGCGGAGCTCCCTATGGGGCCACGAAACGCCGCAGTGTGTGATGTGAAAATACCAAAACTGTGTTTCAGGCACGCATGCGGACAGTCCCACTGGGGGCTTCGTTTGGGGCTCTCTACGGGGTCACGAAACGCCGTACTGGGTGGGGTGAAAATGCCAAATTAGATTTCCGGGACGCATGGGGACAGTCCCAGGGGCTTCTGTGGGGCTCTCTATGGGGCCACGAACCGCTCAGGGGGGGGAGGGGACGCATGCAGACGGTAGCATTGGGACCTTCGGTGGGATTCCCTATGGGGCCACGAAACGCTGTACTGGGTGGGGGGGACGCATGCGGACGGTAGCACTGGGACCTTCGGTGGGGCTACTTGCGGGGCCACGGAACACTGTACTGGGCGTGGGGGACGCATGCGGACGGTAGCACTGGGACCTTCGGTGGCGCTCCTTATGGGGCCACGAAACGCTGTACTGGGTGGGGGGGACGCATTCGGACGGTAGCATTGGGACCTTCGGTGGGGCTCCCTAGGGGGCCACGAAACGGTGTACTGGGTGGGGGGGACGCATGCGGACGGTAGCACTGGGACTTTCGGAGGGGCTCCCTATGGGGCCACAAACGTTGTACTAGGTGCGGGGGACGCATGCGGACGGTAGCACTGGGACCTTCGGTGGCGCTCCCTATGGGGCCACGAAACGCTGTACTGGGTGGGGGGGACGCATGCGGACGGTAGCACTGGGACCTTCGGCGGGGTTCATGGGGCCACGAAACGCTGTTTTGGGTGGGGGGGACGCATGCGGACGCACTGGGACCTTCGGTGGGGCTCCCTATGGGGTCACAAAACGCTGTTTTGGGCGGGGGGGACGCATGCGGACGATAGCACTGGGACCTTCGGTGGGGCTCCCTATGGGGCCACAAAACGTTGCACTAGGTGGGGGGGACGCATGCGGACGGTAGCACTGGGACCTTCGGTGGGGCTCCCTATGGGGCCACGAAACGCTGTATTGGGTGGGGGGGACGCAGCTCCCTATAGGGCCACGAAAACGGTGTACTGGGTGGGGGGGACGCATGCGGACGGTAGCACTGGGACCTTCGGTGGGGCTCCCTATGGGGCCACGAAACGCTGTACTGGGTGGGGGGGACGCATGCGGACGGTAGCACTGGGACCTTCGGTGGGGCTCCCTATGGGGCCACGAAACGTGTGAGGGGTGTGCTGAAACGGGTGATGATGATGCTGATGCTGATGCGGATGCGGATGCTGATGCTGATGTTGATGATGGTGATGGTGATGGTGATGGTGATGGTGATGAAGGAGGGAGAAGGGGAGGAGGAGAGAAAGAGGAGGAGGAGGAGGAGGAGAACGCGGGGCGACGTCTCTTCAAAACGAGGATCCAACAACACAGGCTGGTTGGGAAATAGTCCAAAAATAGTCTGGGGACTATTGTTTTAGTATTGTTTTAAAATGTTGGAGCATGTTTGGAGTATGTTTTATTT